GTTTTTAAGTTCAGTAGACTATAAGTTTATTTAATTGTAGATTCACGTATACTTGTTTCAGTTTACACACAACTTACTTAATGTTTCCAATGAACATTTATGTTTTGATCCTGATGTTTGATATCTTGTTTTCGTCTGCAGGTGATGTTGTTGCCCGGGTCCGTTAGAAGATATACTGGTGCCCGAAGTTATGAGAACTTGAGCGGCATTATATTGTTTGTTGGCTCATATTGGCCATCAAGTTCTTCGGAAGATGTACAAAAGTCTTTTCAGTAGGATTCGATCAGTTTTTTCTGTCTTATTAGTACATTGTTGGCAACAATCATTGTCGAAAATATTTCCGTATTTTTCTTATTTCATTTTAGTTTTATTCTGCAGATTTGTTAATATAACTTGAAGCACGAATGAGGCGATTTAGCTCCCAGGCTCATGTGAGCCCTGGATTTTAAAAGAACTTTCTAGAGCCGCTTACCTGGCGAAAAGGGAAATTTGATCTTAACCATCAATGAATTAAGGTTAAATTTGGCTATCTAAATATGGTTAACAATATAGAAAATAATATTTTGACACATTTTATCAAGGAGCTAAAATGAAATGCTACCTGGAAGGGTTTCTTACTAGTGGCATAACGGTAAATTAAATGAGGGGTGTGCTAGTATACATTCGAATATAAAAAAAATGACACCTAGGGAATATTTCTTTATTACATTTCATTGTAGAATTGAAAAGTACCACTTCCCACTTAACTTACTCATACAATGCAATACTCAAGCACGAGTCTAGACCTTCTCACTTATGGGCTAAGGAAAATAATGATGTCTGTTTATGTGAAGTCAAAAATCAAGAAAGGCTTGCATGAATGGGGTTGGATCATTAGGCAGTGTTAAGGCCTTATAATCGATGTTAACACAAGGAGTAGGGATTGTGTGCACGTACAGTCATACCGATCATTGGTTGCTGATTACCTTTGATCCGGTTTTGGATGTAGATAGTCCCTAACTTTCCCCCCGAAGGTGACCCTTGGTATCAAACCCACGGTAACAACGCAGACGCAAAATGTGAGTCTGGCAAGCTTTTATTGACCTAAATAATTCCAGTTTGCCGGGTCAAAATTGCACAACTCCAAGGGAGAAAACAATTGAAGATATTACACAACTTTCGGGCCACTGGTCGACGTCACCAGGTGAAGCTCACATGGCCGCTCGTGGTGGCGGGGCATTCACCCGCGGCAGCCTCCAATTTGTAGGGCGCTAGGTTCGGGCGGTTTGTCGGCTTGCACGGGGGCTCAGGATCCCGGCGACCAGCGGCTGTGCTTGCGTCCTCACATGGGCACGGCGACGCCTGCATGCGGCGTGGTGGCCAGGGGCTGCGTCGGGGTAGACGGGAGGCGCGGTGCTATGGTCAGATCCACGCATGCGTGTGTCAGTTCTGTCCCATGATGGTGCTGGTGCATGTAGGCTGGGGGGAGGGCTGTGGTCCTCTCCTTCCTCTTTCATCCATGGCAACGGTGTGAGACATATGTTAGATCTGTTGCCGGACAGCCGCAACGGACTGGGCGCGGTTGCCCCTTATTTCATACTTGGACAACTTGGTGGTGGTGATCTAGATTCAGTCGACCAGGTAGTGGTTGCTGCACACTTTGCTACTTGCCGGAGTATTTTTGTACGTGTGTTTCCTGTATGCATCCTACCAATATAGAGGCCGGATGTGTGGTTATGATGTTTGTATCCTCTTGATATTTCAGTTTGAGCCAATAAAATACCCCTTTGAATAAAAAAATGTTAGAAGTAAACAGTCAATACAAAATGTTGAGAAACTGGAACACTCTTCAAATCCGCGCATCACTTTCCACACGCTAGTACCAATGCATCGGACAAGCGAATACATCAGAACCACACATCACTTTCTCATCCTAGACTAGATTACAGTGCATTCAGAGGAATCAACTCTTTTTCAACATGGCCTCAGCATCTGCGGACACGCTCCCTACTTTTAGCGAAATTGCTATGTCGAACGACGACTCATGACCAACGATTTGACTAGGCGAGCTCCGGCCATTTTATATATGAAGTGCTCGACTCGTCACTCCCCACGTCACCAAATTTCCGACAAAAATAATGTCGATGAGCACCCGTCCCTTCCACCTTCTACTCATCGGCGTCCTCCTACTCCTACTGGCTTGCAAATCAAGCTCGCAGCCCACCTCCGGCGACCAAGCCACCCTCCCTAGCTATCAAGAAACAGTGGGGAAACCCACGCCATCTTGTGTCGTGGGACCCCGTCACCAACCCCGACCACTGCGCAACTGGACCGGCGTGGTGTGCGGTGGTGAACACGCCGAGGCCGTGACAGAGATATCCTTGCACAGTCTGAACCTTAGGCCTAATTCCAAAGCACGACCACAAATGTTTTGGTCGCGTATGTTCTAGGGTAAACGGACACAAATCGTGACCCAACGCACGGGAGCCAACTGACAAACGTTCGTTTTTGTCTGCTGCCGACACATTTTCAGCATAAATTGGGGTTTTGTTTGCTTCGAAACGGGCAGCGCGCGGACGTGCGGGACGAGCGCCCTTGTCCTATTCTGGCCCGCCCGTGGGGACACAACACACCCACTTTCCCGTCATTCCCAGGAACCTCCCGCATGCATTCTCCCCCTCACCGAACGGGAGCGTGATCGCGTCGGCCACCCCCGTCCAGCCGGCCGTCGTCGACCTCGACATCACACCTGGGTACTATGGCGTTGGCTAGTCGTCCAATAGGATGAAAAAGGAAGCAGCCCTAGCCGATTCTGACGACCAACCATCCCAGTGCCTGCAACCTGTTCGACGAAATGCCAATCCCGATGCTGGTGGCCGACGACCCCGACTACAACGTGTTCATGGAGAACGTCATCTTCCAGGGCCATAGCATACCTATGCTGGCCGCCGACACTCTGGCCAGCATGAATTATGGCCACTGGCATGAACTACGACCGCGGTGTTTAATTTCATTTGCAAAATATTCCAGGCGACCGGACGAGATGCGTCTGCACGTTGGGTGCACTACCAGCGCATCCAGGAAAATGGCCGGACTCCGACTCATTGCCCTACCCAAATGGGCAAAATCCGAACAAAAAGGACATCGGTTTGGGATTGTGCATCGAAGTTGGCCTTACCGGCAAGGTACCGGAGTCTGTGTGCGACCTGCCGAGCCACACAAATGGAACCATTGTTCTCAAATATATTGGCTGGTAAACACAAATGGAACCATTGTTCTCAAATATATTGGCTGGTAAACACAAATGAAACCACACAAACTTGTTGTTGCCTACAATATGTCATGATAGATCCCATCATCATAGCCATGGAGAAAAGAAAGTGAGAAAGAGGATGAAAAGGAGAAAAATACTAAAATCATGCTAATTTTCATTAGAAGACTAATATATGGATGGAAACGGTTAATCTCACAAATGAATTTTTGACATAATAACTATTTTTAGGGGTATTTTTTTACATAATAACTGAATATTCATATTATGAGCATAAACACAAACTAGCCCGTGTCCGGGCTGACAGTGCAACACAAATAGACCTACTTACGTAGCACATGAATCTAGTAGTGCTACGACACTTGCAATTATAACAAGTCTCTAAAGTTGAAAACATATAGACTCCACTAATAAAGATTACTACTACAAACAAACCTTTATTCACAAGTGTGAGTGAACTGGTATATATCGTCTCTGCGACTGCGACGACCGGCGACCGATGACCGGGCCACGACTGTTGTTGAGTCTTCTAGGGGAGCTTTTGCCTTTTCACGCGAATATTAGCCAATGTTTTAAATAGCGGGCTATTGCCAAATAGCAGCGGACCTCAAAATCAGCTATAGCGGAGCTATAGCGGGCTATTTGTACATAGGACTATTTAGCGGCACCCTGCTGAAAAGGCTATATAGTGGGCTATAGCGGAGCTATAGCCGGCTATTTAAAACATTGATATTAGCCCAACTAGCTCTGCTCCACTCCTCACCGAAGCTCAGTAGCTAGTAACAAACTACGGACAAACATAATGGCGAGCAGCTATCGTCCATCCCACCTTCTACTACTCCTGGGCGTCCTCCTGCTGGCCGTGGCCGGCAAATCGAGCTCGCAGTCCACCTCCGGCGACCAAGCAGCCACCCTCCTAGCTATCAAGAAAGAGTGGGGAAATCCAAGGCAACTTGTGTCGTGGGACCCCATCGCCAACGCCGACCACTGCACCTGGACCGGCGTGGTCTGCGGCCGCAACGAACGCGTGGTGACTGGGATATCCTTGCCGATGCTGAACATCAACGGCAAGGTACCGGAGTCTCTGTGCGACCTGCCGAGCCTCACACACCTCGACCTCTCCTACAACAACCTCACCGGCGGGTTTCCCGGCGCCCAGCTCTACGCCTGCTCCCAGCTCCGCTTCCTCGACCTCTCCTGCAACGCCTTCCACGGGGTCCTTCCGGATGACATCAGCCGCCTGTCGCAGGCCATGGAGCACCTCAACCTGTCGGCAAATTACTTCGGTGGCGCCGTGCCGGCCGCGGTGGCCGAGCTTCCGGCCCTAAGGTCGCTGCTTCTTGACACCAACCAGTTTACCGGAGAGTACCCAGCAGCCGAGATAAGCAAGCTCACCAGGCTCGAGCAGCTGACGCTTGCCTGGAACCCGTCCGCGCCGGCGCCTGCACCGCCGAAGTTCGCCAAGCTGGCCAACCTGAGCTACCTCTGGATGTCTGAGATGAACATGACCGGCGAGATCCCAAAGGCATACTCGAGCCTAGTGAACCTCCAGCTAATTGCTATAACCAAGAACAATCTCACCGGCGAGATCCCGGCATGGGTCTGGCAGCATCCAAAACTCGAGTACTTGTACCTGTTCGCCAATGGACTCACCGGCAAACTACCGCGCAAAATCAGGTCGGTGAATTTGATAGAGCTTGATGTGTCGTCGAACCATCTCACAGGAGAAATACCAGAAGACATTGGTAACCTCAAGAACCTGACCATACTATTCATGTACACCAACCAGCTCACCGGCATCATTCCAGCAAGCATAGCGATGCTCCTCAATCTTTGGGACATCAGGCTACATGAAAACAAGCTCTCGGGTGAGCTGCCGGTGGAGCTTGGGAAGCACTCGCCTCTCAGCAACCTCGAGATTTCCATCAACAACCTGTCTGGCCCGCTCCCAGAATCACTTTGCGCCAACGGGATGCTCGACGACATTGTGGTCTCCAACAACAGCTTGTCTGGCGAGCTCCCGAAATACCTCACGGACTGCGTCCTGCTGAACAACCTCATGATCTCCAACAACAGCTTCCACGGCAAGTTTCCCGAGAAAATTTGGTCATTGCCGAAGTTGACCAAGGTGGTGATAGAGAGCAATGGTTTCACTGGGTTTTTACCGGCCAAGATACCTGATAACATCAGGTGGATTGATATGGGGAACAACAAGTTTTCTGGGCCCCTACCAACATCGGCAACCGGGCTGCAGGTGTTCAGGGCGGCAAACAACCTTCTCTCCGGCGAGCTACCGGCCGACATGAGCAAGTTTGCCAACCTTACACGTTTGGTATTGCGTGGCAACCAGCTAACTGGTTGCATAATAACATGAATCATACAACCACGAGTGAATTTGTTGCAGAAGCCCAGGACTCTCAACTTGTGCACGATACGATTTGAAGTTCTTGACAACGGAAATTTGGTAATAAGAGACCAAGTGAATAGTTCATCCTTGTTCTGGCAAAGCTTCGATGAACCATGTGGTACACTGCTACCTGGAGCACAGCTAGGATATAATAATATGATCATTACTAGCGAGGCTACCAATAATGTTTCTTGTTTCTTGGTTTCTCAACTGGAGAGGAATACAGACCAAACAAGAAGGTTTACTATCTCCACTTTTTACGGCTATTATCCCCGCACTTATTATTAGGGCTATTATCCCCGCCCTTCTTATTACAGCAGTTCTATTACGACCACTTATTCTGACACTTTCCCGAGCTGGATGGATATTGACGAAGATGAAGACTCTTTATCTTTGTCCAACAATTCACATGTATATGTAAGGTTGCATTCTGATGGTACTGTTCAGGCCCGTACCACACACATGTGCGGGGTGTGCGCATGCACAGGGCCCTCAAATCATCGGGGCCCCAAATTTTCATATATTGGGTATTACTAATTAACTGATACTAGTAAATTATGTCTTAAAAAAACTGATACTAGTAATTAGGGGCAGGTAGCGTTGATGGTTGAATAATCAAATAATGGAATCGTACACTCTACTAGTACTAGTGCTACTTTTTTTTTGCGGGTATAGTACTAGTGCTACTCCATAGGCAAAGAATAAACTCAGCCAATTATTACATGAGACTTTACACAAATTAATTCGCTAGCCTTTCCTTGTGCATGGCTCTCATCTGCTCTTCATCTTCCTCGGACCTCAGGCACAATTCCCCTTTCTCAATTCTTAAATCCTCATCCTGATAAAAAAAATTCTTAAATGCTCACCAATGTTCACTCCTTGCTAATGTTCCACTCTCCTAATCCCCCATCTACAGTTCAACGTTTCTCTCAACCTCCTTGACCGCCCGTTGCCGGCCCTACAACCTGTGTGCATCGGCATCAACACGAACCTCGACTATAGTTGAAGGCTATAAGTTCTTGTTGGCCACATCCTGGCTCATCAAGAAGAGAACCTAGAGTCACACATGTTGCCGCCCCATAGTTTGCTTCTCATGTTAGTCTAAGGTTGCTTCATTCCATTTTATCTCTATCTTCAGTCTTTGTTTGTCTCTTTGTTTTACTTTTTACAATGTTTGTAGAATGGGCAGTATAAGACATGATAATATAGAAAATTATAAAAATACATATATAAAGAATTGAGGGCCCACATTTTGATCTTGCACGATCTTGCACTAGGCCTCCGTTTTGTCAGATACGGCCCTGGTACTGTTACTGCTGCTAAACTATGGGGTTGTGGGACTGTGTTGTGGTCTTCTCGAGATTCCAGGAAGGAAAAACCAGAATGCGTGCAAGAAATATTGGATTCCAAGAAAAAGAAGTCATATAGCACCTGGAACTGCAAGAGGCTGTTGGGTAACGTAGTAATTTCAAAAAAAAATCCTACGCACACGCAAGATCATGATGATGCATAGCAACGAGAGGGGAGAGTGTGTCCACGTACCCTCGTAGACCGAAAGCGGAAGCGTTAGCACAACGTGGTTGATGTAGTCGTACGTCTTCACAATCCGACCGATCAAGTACCAAACGCATGGCACCTCTGGTTGATGTAGTCGTACGTCTTCACAATCCGACCGATCAAGTACCAAACGCATGGCACCTCTGAGTTCAGGACACGTTCAACTCGATGACGTCCTCGAACTCCGATCCAGCCGAGCTTTGAGGTAGAGTTCCGTCAGCACGACGGCGTGGTGACGATGATGATGTTCTACCGACGCAGGGCTTTGCCTAAGCACCGCTATGATACTATCGAGGTGGATTATGGTGGAGGGGGGCACCGCACACGGCCAAGAGATCCAAGAGATCAGTTGTTGTGTCTATGGGGTGCCCCCCTCCTCCGTATATAAAGGAGGGGAGGAGAGGGCCGGCCAAGGGGAGGAGGCGCGCCCAAGGGGGGGAGTCCTACTCCCACCAGGAGTAGGACTCCTCCTTTTCCTATTTGGAGAGGGAGAGGGAAGGAAGGACAGGGGGGCCGGCCCCCCTCCCAATTTGGATTGGGCTTGGGGGGCGGGGCGCCCTCTCCCTTGCTCCTTTCCCCTCCTTTCCACTAAAGCCCATTAAGGCCCGTATACCTCCCGGGGGGTTCCGATAACCTCCCGGTGCTCCGGTATTATCCCGATCTCACCCGGAACCATTCTGGTGTCCAAATATAGTCGTCCAATATATCGATCTTTATGTCTCAACCATTTCGAGACTCCTCGTCATGTCCGTGATCACATCCGGGACTCCGAACTACCTTCGGTACAATAAAACACATAAACTCGTAATATAACCGTCATCGAACTTTAAGCGTGCGGACCCTTCGGGTTCGAGAACTATGTAGACATGACCAAGACACGTCCCGGTCAGTAACCAATAGCGGAACCTGGATGCTCATATTGGCTCCCACATATTCTACGAAGATCTTTATCGGTCATACCGCATAACAACATACGTTGTTCCTTTTGTCATCGGTATGTTACTTGCCCGAGATTCGATTGTCGGTATCTCAATACCTAGTTCAATCTCGTTACCGGCAAGTCTCTTTACTCGTTCCGTAATACATCATCCCGCAACTAACTCATTAGTTGCAATGCTTGCAAGGCTTATAATGATGTGCGTTACTGAGTGGGCCCAGAGATACCTCTCCGACAATTGGAGTGACAAATCCTAATCTCGAAATACGCCAACCCAACAATTACCTTTGGAGACACCTGTAAAGCACCTTTATAATCACCCAGTTACGTTGTGACGTTTGGTAGCACACAAAGTGTTCCTCCGGTAAACGGGAGTTGCATAATCTCATAGTCATAGGAACATGTATAAGTCATGAAGAAAGCAATAGCAACATACTAAACGATCATGTGCTAAGCTAACGGAATGGGTCAAGTCAATCACATCATTCTCCTAATGATGTGATCCCGTTAATCAAATGACAACTCTTTGTCTATGGCTAGGAAATATAACCATCTTTGATCAACGAGCTAGTCAAGTAGAGGCATACTAGTGACACTCTGTTTGTCTATGTATTCACACATGTATCATGTTTCCGGTTAATACAATTCTAGCATGAATAATAAACATTTATCATGATATAAGGAAATAAATAATAACTTTATTATTGCCTCTAGGGCATATTTCCTTCAGAGGCTTGGCTTATCTCCACGGGGAATGCAAAGAATGCATTATACATTGTGACATGAAGCCAGACAATGTACTTCTTGATGCAGAGTTCTGCCCCAAGATAGCGGACTTCAGCATGGCCAAGCTTCTAGGTCGAGATTTCAGCAGGGCATTGACAACGATGCGAGGGACCATTGGATATCTCGCACTGGAGTGGATATCGGGGTACCGATCACACATAAGACTGATGACCGAGGCACCCGTCACCTTAGGGATGAGAGTGATTACCCCATAATTCAGCCGGCGAAGGTCAATGGTCCCAGCCATGAACTCGTCGAATAGGGCCATCACCTCGGGGTTGATCACCTCCCAAAAGGTCTGGAAAAACTTCACTGGGAGGCCATCCGGGCCTGAGCCGAGGAGGGGTTCATGCACTTAATGGCCGCCCAAACATCCTCCTCGGAGAACGGGGCCGTGAGGGCCGCGTTGTCCGCGGGCGAGACGCAGCAATGGGCAGGCCAAATGTCTTGCGCTAGGGCAGGACCTCCCCGAGGGGAGGCGGAGAATAGGTCTCTGTAGAAGCCATCAACATGTGCCCGGATGTCCTCCGGTCGCTGGAGAAGGGTCAGGCCATCCCACAAGAGGGGGATGGAATTGCGGCGCCTACGGCCATTAGCAATAGCCTGGAAGTAGGCAGTATTGGCGTCCCCCTTGAGGACCCAATTCTGCGTACCTCGCAAGCGCCAGTAGGCCTCCTCGTCAGTGTAGATGACCGTGAGCTGATCTTCCAAGTCGTACCTAAGCATCCATTCGTCTGCCGAAAGACCAGCGGTGTCAGCCCGCAGGTCGAGGACCTGGATGTCATCAAGGAGAGCCTTCTTCCGCTCACGGATGTCCCGACCCACGTTAGCACCCCATCCTTTCATGAACTGCCGCGACCGCTTGGCGCAGAAATGCCAAGAATCAACGGCCGACAGGGCCCTATGGGGGGCGTCCCTCGCCTCACGCCACCTGGCGACCACCGCAGCTGCGAAGCCTGGCTGGCGCAACCAGAAGGTCTCAAAACGGAAGCTTGGCGGCAGGGGAGGGCGTTCATTCTACGAACAAAGGAGAAGGGACACATGGTCTGACCCAATCCGCGTGATCGCCCGCAGCGATGCTAGGGGACATCGAATGTCCCAATCAGGGGAGGCGAAAACTC